TCTCCTCCTGTCTTAGGCTGCATCTCCTGTGTTCAAGCCAATTGAATCCTAATGCCAGACTTCGTAAGACGTACATGCCACACTTGGACCACACTTGCACTGAAAGGTCACTGGTTGCTTGCAGGCACTTCTGATTTAACTGCATATAAGCAACAATTCTGCTTTCAAGATGTCAGCACTGTGGGTCTGCCTGGCAGAGGCAAGGGAAGACAGGGACTCCAAGATCCAATGCAAGGTGCAGCACCCAGGACTCGGTAACGGGCAGCAGTGTGCTGGTGCTGGCAGCAGTCACAGGGACCCTGCTCTAGGGTGAATGTGCAGCTGCTGGCCACCAGCCCTGAAGCAAGACAAGGGATAGAGGCTGTGAAGGGAGGGGTATGAAGAGGCAGGCAGAAATGGGCCTGGCCACATGGATGTCACTGATAATAACCCAACTTCTGTAACAATCAGCCATGACTCATCACAGTCTCTTTGGTATCTACTGAGGCTTCCACAGCACTAGACACTGGGCTCTGAAGCTGTTCAAAGTTTCTGTGCTATCAGGAAGCCTGCGGGACAGCTTGAACTTGTGTGTGAGCCCTTATTTAAGATGCTTCCTGAGTGCATGTTGTGAAATAATTTGAAGAACATCACCTTATTAAGACACACCCTCCCCCACCCCCAGCCCAAGTCATCATCACCTGTATTCTTTCTTGGTGCTGGTGAAAGGAAACAAGTGTGTGAGATGGCTTCCATCAACTGTAACTATTACTCCCCAACTGGGAAAAAAAATTCATTTTTCTCCGAAGAAGTTAAAACCTCAGTACATTTTATTTTTAAATGTTTATAAGGCAGGTCTATGAGAATTATATGAAAACCTGGCATATAATTTGACAATGACATCTTGTAGATTACACAGTTTAGTAAATATCAGTTGCACAATTATAAAGAAAACCATGTTCCCTAAGCAGATACAAAAAAATCCAGTGAAATATCAAGGCAAAAAACAAGTACAATTAACTGGCAATGGAAATCCAATTTTATATGAATTGCACATTACCCTTTACAAGATTTTAAAGGGAAGAATTATTGCAGTCTGTTCTATTCGAACAGTCTCACACAGTGTCATGACAAGGAGGCCAAGTCCAGAAAGGATTCACTTTGACTTCAGGTAGCAAACTCCACTTTCCAGTGGCTTAAATGCAGGACAATGTGGCAGGAGCAGGGAAGAGCACAAGGTCTTCCTAGGGTTGAATCTGAGGGTCTTCTGCAGGGATCTGGGATACAGTGAGATCCACAAGCTAAGCAGCAGGATGAAGGAAGCAGGCAGACCAGAGGCTGCTTTTCCTGGAGGAGCAGTGGCAGCACGGCCAGACCCTCCTGAAAACCCTGGAGAGAAGACTCGCTTGAGGCTGGCAATTCAGAAACCACACCGAAGCTTCCGCCTTTCTGATTTAATTGAACCCATTTAGTCACTGGGAAAATCCGTATGGTTCCCGAAAGCTAAAAATCTGTGTGTGTGTGGCCAAACAGCACAGTGTAGTTGCAGATGGATAGAATCTCTGAAAATTAAGCACTTTTAAAGTTTTCTCCCATGGGGACAAAAAAAAAAAAAAAGACATGGAAGAATTTCTTTGTCCCAGGAAAGCTCAGTGTGAGGGTGAGAACAGATTGCATTTTCACTGCAGTTATTGCAGATCCATTTAGAGCTCAGAACAGCTGCACAACAGACACCTGACATTGTTTCACCGACTCAGGAACAGCTGGGAGAGGGACGTGTCACTTCCCGATGACACACTGAGCGGGGCTGCTCTCCGCAGCTTTGCTCCAAGTTCTAAAATCATGAGATAATTTCGACACGACCTTTGAGGCTACTGAAACGCTTATTTCAAAATGAGGACTCTTAGACTGAAGCAACTCCATAGTTAATTCATGTTTACAGAAGTATTTACGGGTTATATTTCTGGCACTTTATTTACAAAGTCACCTAAGAAACCTTAAATTTCCTAAACCACTTTTGCAGCGAAGATTCTGCATAGGTTCTACCACGAAGCAGTTCAAGCATGAAAGGCAATGAAGAAGGATTTAGGTTTCATCATACTGCATGAGACAAATACAAAAATTGGATATGCTACATTCTTGAAGCCCTTTTACACAGATCATTTTTATAACTGACTGTGATGGGAGTATATAAATATATCCTAAATCACCGTTACAAGCTTGATTTTGAAAGTCAAATTCCTTAAGTGACGGATATGCTAATTTATGAGAAATTAATCAGGTAGTGTAACACTAGACTTCATTAGCCACCTTTTATGTAGCTCAAAATAATTATCTCTGATAAATACTTACAAATATAATTTATCCTTACATTTAAATATTTTAAAGTTTAAATAAAAATTTCACAGGTAGACAATCTGGGATGATTTCCATATATTCTTTGAAAAACAGATGTTTAATGAATACAGTCCTATTTAAATGTGACTTCAAATACTTTTACTAGGGGCAGGCACGGAATCTGTACATACGGTTTGTCACAGCGCTTAGCCTGTGGGTATTTTCCATGTAGGAAAAAAGTGACTAGCTTTTCTTTGCATAGGATTCAGCCTGAGTCTATCTGCTACCTTCTCATTTCCTCAGGGCCACTTCTAAAGCACGGGATCAGGAAACAGGCCCCTGCTCTTCAGTTCTCGCCACTTCAGTCTCATGTTAACCAACCGCTGAACTAAGTCCTTTTGCTGAGGACAGCAGAATGAAGCAAAAAAAAAAGTTATAATTACTATAAAAATAATGATTCACAAAAATGATCACATTGGGAGCAGTAAAAGCATTAAAAATGAATTTCATTTTTTAGAAAGGTTGTAAATCCTTAGAATGATAATGAGTAGCCTACAACCATCCTAAGACTTCAAGATAATTCCATTTTTATAAACTGAAAAGGAGACCATGTGAAACATGACTTATACATTTTCATACAAGTTTTTCTCATAATTTCAAAGCATTCATTTTCCAATACTTTCACATGTGTTCTGGGCTACTTACTATAAACAACAGCATACTTCAGTAGTCATCTAACTTTTATAACTATTTTGTTATGTTTCCATATTAAAAGGATAATGTATGGTAGTCAGAGAGTAAAACGCAAGAAATAAGAGAGTATTGAAGATATTTGTAACTGTAATAGTGTGTTGAGGTGTTCACCCTTCAAAGTTATCATCCAACTGAATTCCATCTATGAAGTAACAAGCGATCCTCAAGGAGGAAGGGATATAATTAAAATAAAAGAGATATAATTAAAATAATAAACACGGCGGTCAGTTGAAAGCACAGAAGCATCAGAGAGTCAGAGACTTAGAGGATTGCACGGACAAGGTAGGCCCCGCAACACTAAGCCCTGTTCTTTCTGGCAGCAAGATGAAAGTGGGTAAGGGCAGAGATGTCGTCATTTCTGGGAGAGGAATGCATATAATTGTTTCTTGTCTGCAACTCTCCATTTTTAATAAGTCAGTGGAAGAACACGCACGCTGAGATTTGAACCAAGCATGATTGCAAGGCGGAATGTCAGCACCAAAGAATTGTATGAGTAATCTGTCTCTGGAGTAGGTTATGAACCCTCAGCCCATAAACTGATCCCTAGTGAGCAGCTGTGCAGGCAGAGGACTTCCCTGATGGAGAGGAGGAGATGGCTTGCCCCTCAGGAACTGTGGAGAACATTCTGTAGGACCTCAGTAACTTGCTGACACTGTGCCATCCTCTGTATTCCCTGGGGGCTTCGGATCTCCGGCCCAGTGACCGTAAATAGACGTATGACACTGCTCCTTTCACACACAAACCCACGGTTAAGGTAAGCCGATGTCTTCCTACCAGAGAGGAAGCACTTCTGCACCTGGGGCTGGAGCAGGGGCTGGGCAGTTGGGCAGTTGAGACCCTGGCTTCTGAAATACGGTTCCCTGGACCTCAGGGTTCACTCTGCTACTTACTAACTGTGTGGACTTGGGCCATAAGGTAAGTAGTTCGTTTTCTAAACTTGAGCTGCTTATATCCACGATGAGGTCAGCTACCTCGTGGGCGCTGCAGTAAGTTGTACATGGGATCACGCAAGTAGAGTGCATAGCATGAGTTTGGTGCGTGGTAATCCCTCAGTAAGCATAAGCTGTAAAATCCCATTCCACAGAGAATGGCGACTGGCTAACGTGTGGTGACAAACCAGTAGCTGTTTGAGAGCGATGACACCGGTTCCCAGAATTGATGCCATATCAGACATGGCAGTTTGAGAAGCCAAATATTATGGAGTTCTCTCTCTGATCAACTTATCAATATGACAATGAAACTGCTCTGTGGCAGGAGAAAGTGAAAGTGTTCATGAGGTATGCATTATCGGGGTGTATGCCATGTCTTCAGTGCACCTTAAAAAGAATTTTGTTTGTCTTTTAAATTTGCCTTTATCACATGGTAATATCGCATCATACAGTTAATTACATTCAAATCCTATATATATAGGAATGTTATCACATACCCTTACCTAGATGCTAATGTATCTTTTCTTAAAAATAGTGTGTGATTATGCATTTCTATTTCTTAAATTGGATAATAATTAAAAACTTATTTTAAGCTTCAGAAAAAAAGTTTATATCCACTGAATTATATTAAAAGTTTACAATGCTGCTGGTTTGCAAAGTGTTTTTTTTACTATGATGCTACATCAATATTGTTAACTATGAATATTTTGACCTGATTACGAAGTACAGTTAACATTACAACAGTGTTACATCTGTGCATAACAAGAACAAAAGAGAGCTGAAGGGAAGCAGTACGTGTGACTACAAAATTGCATATTGGCAAAATGTGGCATTTGTGAAATTTAACTCGAAGGACAGTCTGTTGCTAATATGACTGAATTTTCATTTCACAGGGTTTGACCTACAGAAATCTGATGGCACGCTTACAGTGGATCACGCAGGAGTCCTCAACATCACGGCGTGTGTAGAACTTCCCGTGGCAGCAGCGGGCCCCACAGGCCATTACATCACTGTGACCCGCTCAGGGGAGAGAGGAGCAACTGTTCCAGCAACGCCTTCTTCTAGAAACTGGCTCTTCTCCCATCCTTTCTTGATTCTCTTTAGCTTCCGGCTTACACACGGGAGGAGCAAAATGCTCTTCCCCACAATGACAACCGAGGGCAAGACCAGAGCCAGAACAAAGTTGGGAGGGGTGTAAAACCTGTAGTACTCCTCTTGGAAAGCGCGCTTCCAGCCGTAAATCAAAACATGGAACGTGCTTATGAGCAGGGCGACATAGCCCAGAGTGGACTGGACGCACCGGAGCAAGCAAAGGGAACAGAGCAAGCAAAAAGAATCACTTAGACTTGTCACCCAGACACACTCCATGTTTTCATAAAACTATATTGCCTTACCTGAGGAACTCTGCCCCTACTGAATCAAAGTTACTAACCAGTTTTTATTGTTCTACATAAATATACATATATTTAACTTATTTAAACATGTATAACTTATTTCACACAAAGTAGGCCATACTGCAGACATTCAATATTCTAATTATCACATTTTCCACAACAGGATCATGTCCCTCATGTCATTAAATATAACATGAATACTTCATAACAGCCCATGCATTTTGCATGTGCATTCTTTAATTAACCAAGTCTTTTGGCTGACTACCTGCTGTTTCCAACATCTTTCAGCTTACAGTGATGTCACGGTAGGCCCTGTCCTGTACTTGATTTCCTAACTCATAGTGCAATTATTGCTTTCCTGTGTACCTTCTGCGTCAGGGTGTTGATACATGCTAACATCTCCTTTGCAAAGGGATCCACAGCCCCACCAGACATGTACCAAAAAAAAAAAGTGTATATGGCAGAGGTTCTAAAAGTACATGGTCAATTAAGTTGAAAGACAAGCTTAGTTTGGTGCAAAAGTTTTGAAATTCATATATAGTGTTTTTATAGTTAAGCTCTTCAATACATGTATGTTATGTATGTTTATAAAAACATACTAAACGTGTCAAAAAATGAAGTGCTGAAGAGCATTTTATGGACATGCATATGCACACAAACAAACACTCACTATTTATAGGTAAATATGAAAATTCTACACTGTTAATACATCATACCAATGGCAATTAACCCCAAGGTTTTAGTATCTATATTAAATTAATATAGATCTATATTAAATAGAATTGTGAATATTTAGGCAGTTTACAGGTTAAGTTCTAAAATATTAATATTCTTTGCTTTCCTAAATTAGTACGTTTAAGATTGTTTACTTTGAGAAATGGTCTGGGCTACAAAAAGTAATACTATATCTGTATAGTGACATAACATCTAAATTCACTAGAAAAATACACAGGCAAAATGATTACAATTACATATCTGAATTTATAATGACAATATGTACCTGTCTAGCACCTTTTATCAGAGGACATTTTATTTCTTTTTATATGTGATTAAACTAGCAATTGGAATACATTTATTTTTTCTTCATCAAAAAGGAAAAATGAATTGAGAGAAGGATTATGTCCCATTTGAATGAGATTTTCAATTGCTATTTTTAGAGATTCATTCATTTATTTTGGGGAAAGTCAGATATAGAGAGGAGGAGAGGCAGAGAGGAAGATCTCCCGTCCGATGATTCACTTCCCAAGTGACCGCAATGGCCGCAGCTGAGCTGATCCAAAGCCAGGAGCCAGCAGACTCCTCTGGGTCTCCCACATAGGTGCAGGGTCCCAAAGCCTTGGGCCATCTTTGAATGCTTTCCCAGACCACAAGCAGGGAGCTGGATGGGAAGTGGAGCTGCCAGGATTAGAACCAGTGCCCATAAGGGATCCTGGAGTATGCAAGGTGAGGGCTTCAGCCTCTAGGCTACCATGCTGGACCCTTTAACTGATTTTTTTAAAAAGCTCAAATAGACTAGAAAACAAAATTTTATATACTATCAAGATACACTTACCTACAGGTGCTGTAAACATCTGGCTATAACCACACACATATACACTTTGAGATACATAAGCAGGGTCTCAGTTTGAGTTACATGTTTTTTAAATATGCAAACCTACGACATAGCTATACCAGACAAGGTGAAGGTTAGTTGCCCTTACTGAAGCACACAATGGTGTTTTGGACTTCTGCATATGAACTTAGGGCTGTTCTAACAACTCCTAAGGCTGGTTGCTGTCAGTCTCACACTGCATGTATTCTTGTGAAGTCTGCACACACATACATTTCCTTAAGACAGACTTACTTTTTCCCCACTTGAACTAAAAAGAAAACTTTTTTACAAAGATGAGTTGATATAAAATGTTTTCCTTCATTTATCTAAGTGATCCAAGAACACCCTCACCCTACTTTCCCTGCTTTCTCTTTAAAATGATTGCTATCTCACTGTGACAGGTGCTGCTAGCCACGCCTTACAGGACACGGGGGAGCTGACTCCACCACAGCTCCTAAATCCCCCTCTTGGCTTTGTGCGTTCCAAAGCCTGAGGCACAGACCAGCCCCCAAACGCACCCTCTTGACTGGGAATATGCTTGTTAAAATTTTTCTTTCAGACTAGTTTTTAAACTTATGAAACAAAAATGGTGAGGCAGTAACAGCTTTAAGGGGCACACTGAAAATCCCACTTAACAACAAACTACACGCAGCCTGGTCCCTCACACACCTGAATAAAGCTGAACTCCCTCCAGTTCAAAGCGCTGCTCACAGAGGGGATGGACGTGACCGCCAGCAGGGACAGCAGGCCCAGGCTCATGATGCCGAAGGAAATGTACATCTCGATCCTCCAGACCTCCTCCTCGTTCCAAGAGTTCTCAATGTTGGCATGCACCTGTCCGGGGCACACGGGAAGGACCGTTAGCATTCACAACACTGCCCTAGCCCCGAGCATGAACACGCAAGTTGTATTAATTCAACATTATGGGGACCTAACTAGAAGCTGGCACTGTTTAGAGCATAAGGAAAAGGAGAATTCAATGAGTGGAAAAGTAAAACCTTCTCCTTATGTCATCCTAACCATATCATATTCCTGTTACAGGGAACCTTGACCCCAGGACCATGAAATGTGAGAACGTGCCGGCAGTTAGACTTGGTTCTGAAGCACCTTCAGATGCTGGCTTAACCTTGGTTGAATATACTCTTCCCTTCCGGGCTTAATTCAACTTAGACTCTAAGCAGGGAGTTTGCTGCTGCTTTTTTTTTTTTTTAATGCTATTTACTATTTTTCAACTTATTTGAAGGGCAGTGAAGAGTGACATCTTTCTTGTGCTGGTTCACCCCCAAATGCCTACAACATCTGAGCCTAGACCAGGTGAAAAAAGCCAAGAGGCCCCTCGAACTCAATCCAGGTCTCCCGTGGCATGGACCCGAGTCCTGGCACCATCTTGGGCTGCCTCCCGGGATGTACAACAGCAGGAGGCTGGAATGAGAGGTATGAGTCAGGACTCGAACCCAGGCATTCTGATAAAGGATGTAGTGTTTCAAGCAGCGGCTTGGGGGCTGTGTCAAGAATTTGCTGCTGGGCAGGGAGTTTCTAGGCTACTTGTATGTCCTCCCATTTTACCCAGTTAATTGATTGGGATTATCTTTTTCTTCTTATCTCTCTTCCAGGAAGCTAGTAGTGCCCCAAGCACAAAGCCTTACAGAAGCAAATATTCATCCACTTGAATAGTATCATGATTTTTCCAATTGTGTACAATTGTCAAATTCACAAACAGTGTTCCTCCAAATGCCACTGCTGAAATGAATTTAAGTACTACAAGTTGCCTCTTTGGGTCAAGATGCCCTCTGGATCCCATTAAAATGCGAAATGTTTTACACATGTGTTTTGGTGCAGTGTCCTTGGCTTTCAGTGACAGATGCTGCACCACAGGGCTGTGGTGAAATCCCTTAAATTGCATTTGCAGATCAGGAGTTACTGAGGAAAATCTGCTGATCCTTTGAGGAGAGTTTTTGTGCTGTGTGATAACAAGCACCTTGTAAGCAATGCTGTCTCCTTTTTCATTACTTCAGAAATCTCCAAGCCAAACCTGAGGCTGTGTCCACATTCGTGGCCAGCTGGGATATATTTTTTCTTCCCCCAGCTGCATGTTTTCTAGTCTGTGCTTTTATTGGTTCTCATTTTATTGTCTGTGTTCACTGAGAATTGCCTATTCATTCAGTGATTTTTGTGGACCGTGGGCGATATAAAATTACATGGAGATATTTAACATTGATTAATATTATTGTTTAATGCTGCAGGCAATCATTGCAATTATAATGCTACAGAAAAAAAAAAACAACAACTCTTTATTTCTCTAACCATGTTCTGCTAAGAAATGATAGCAGCTTCTACCATAACTGATTCTGAATTATCCACATAATTCTTATTAATTAAAACTATACATAAATAATATAGTTTATATTTATTTAAGAAGCGGAGAGACATCGGACTCCTGTCTGCTGGTTCCCCCTTTAAAGGCCTACAGTCTGGGGCTGAAGGCTGGGGGCTGGGAACTCAATCCATGCCTCCCCTGTGAGTGGCAGACACCTAACTACATGAAGACGCAGCCACTGCAGACAGGCATGGAGCTGGGTAATGATCCAGCTGCTTTGATACGGGCCACAGGCATCCTGTCCAGCACCTTAATGAGAAGGTCAAATGTCCACCCTTAGTCACATCATTCTTTTGTTAGAATACTGTTTATAGGGTCTGGCCTAGTGGCTTAGCATGCTCATCTCTGCCTGTGGGGCCAGCATTCCATATGGGCACTGGTTCCGTCTGGCTGCTCCACTTCAGACCCACCTTCCTGCTTACAGCCTGAGAAAGCAGCAGAAGTTGGCTAAAGTCCTTGAACTCTCTGCATGCAAGAGGGAGACCCAGAAGAAGCTCCCGGCTCCCAGCTTCGGATCAGCTCAGCTCTGGCTACTGAGGAATTTGGGGAGGGATCCAGTGGTGGAAGGTCTCTGTAACTCTTTCAAGTAAAAATTAAATGAATCTTTTAAGAGAAAAGGATATTATTTAAAAAACAATTATTTTCATTCCCTAAATAAGAAAATATGCATAATAAGGTAAAATGTCATACTATGTACTATTCAAGGATTTGGCTACAAATAGGTAACAAGTAAGCTCAGTACCTGCTGGTAAGCCATGTTGAGGAACAGGTATCTTTCTGACCTTCTCATTGGTAAACAGAGGCTGTAGGCAACGTGGACAACAGTGAAGAAAAAACTTAGTAATCCAAGCTGCTTCCTACACTGTAACCAGGTCTCCAGCCACGGTGGAAATCTCCTATACTTGGTGCCATAATAAAGTTGATAGACAGCTGCCAGGAGACCTGCGAGGTATACCAGCGACAGCAGAGTAATGGCTACGATAGGCAAGGTTTTATTCACAATCTCAATAGGAATCTTGTAAAAGTCACTCTGCTGGTTCCTTGCATATGGATGGATCACATCTCTGACAAAGGAATAAAGGAAGAAAAACGTGGCCAGGCTTATGGCTACCACTACTGGCCCTCTCCAGAGAGTAAACAGTCGCAGTGGTAAATTTTCAATTTCCCTGGCAGATGATAAAGAACCCAAGTCCACAGGGATGAAATTCAGCTGGCGGGCGAGTTCAATGACCTGCTGTCGAGCTTGAATATTGTTGCTGCATATATACACCTGCAGGAAGAACAAGAACGCTCATCAGTGATGATTGCTGCTTCAAATAACGGCAGTGGGCACATGCGCCTCTTAGTCCAGGGAGTGTCAGTTCTGATGGCCTGGAGGGATGCTGGTGACTGGCAGCAAGGAGGAAAAGCATGTATTAGCCTATCAGTCACAAACTAAAAACAAAAAGTCTGTGCCACCTGGGGTTAACACAGAAAACAACCGAGTGCAGTTGTGAGAAGGGACCCTCCAGAGCCGATTCCGGGAGCAGAGAATCTGCAGCAAGTGGAAGTGGAGCTGTCCGGGCCACAAGGTTCAGGAGCAGCTGCAATGCACGGCGGTCTCCCTTCCACAAGATCAGATGGTCTGAGGGGCTGACACTCCAGCTCCCTAACTCCCCTAGTGGAGTGGGCTAGGGGGTGGCGGACAGCTCTCCTGCTTTGGGGCAATATTTGTTCCACATGAATGACTACAAGCAGTGCTCTTCACAGACACTGAGCAGGTGACAGGGTGGATGCAGCCTCTGGCAAGGAAAATCCCTAACTCACGCCACAGTGCTGTGCTGTTCGTAATGCTCATCTTTAGCTGAGAGACCAATTCGCTGAGCACCGCTGAAAAACCATGGCCAATTTCAGGCATGCTACTTCACTGCTTTCATCTTTAAATACTGATAATAAGCCTGGCAAGTAACAATATCAACCAGCCTTTATTAATTTGAATAGAAGACCAACCACCATATTCTAAGACTAACATGTGACATCTACAGAAATTCTAATGATGTGGAGGAGGTGAGGATGGGCTTTCAAAGTGCTAGAACTTCTTAGATACGGAAATATGGCTGAAAATTCAACAAGCTCACTGTTGGAAGTGACGGATAGGGCCCAGAATGAAGATGATTTGCCCTAAAGGCTCCAAAAATGTTTAGGAAATTAAAATAGTAAATATAACCTTGAAGATGTTTGTGTAAGAGCTCTGGAATACGCCACGTTGAAATAGCCGCATGCTAATCCTATTTACATAACGGGGACAACGCAGAGCTCTTCGGTTTATTAATCTTTGCTTACATTGGCCAGATGAGTGACATATCCTATGCTAATATAAAAACACTCATGAACTTTTAAAATGGAGCTACTTTAATGCCAAAGAAATCATGTAAATGACTTTATTACAGTAACCTTTTTTTTCCCTCATTTGGGAGTAGCATGTCCATGATGTCTGTATAAACCAGATATTCAAAATAAGCTGAAGTTTTCTCAGGATAGATTTTCATCTGTGTGGGGAAGACAGAGGGGGCTGGCTGTCTTAGGTTCTCTTCTACAGACAGTTAATCCATGTGTAACAAATGCCTCTCATAAAGTATTCTTCTTGAGCTTTGTGGCAACTATTTTTCACTCAGATAAGGAATACTGTGTGATTGAAAATGGCAGGGAAAGAAGAGAGGGAAGGAGGCAGAAAAGGGAAAAGACATTTGTTATCGTTTCTGTGTTTCAGGAACCCAGGAGACTCTGTGCCAGGCGTCCCGTCACTCACTGGGCAGCCCTGCCTTCTCTCTACTGAACGGGCCGTGCCACATTTGCCCAGCCTCCTGCATGGAATGTGCCCCGCAGTGCTAGGACATGAGAGAGTCAGAATTCGAGTTTTAAACCTCTGATAATTATTAATCTGCAGAAAACCAGATCAGTAATAGTCAGATTGAGCACACACCTGGCGGCTGGCATCCTTGGGTCCTAACTGAAGAGCCCAAGCCGAGATGACATTAAATCCTTTGACAACCAAGGAATCTGGAAATAATGAGGCCAAGTACTCAGCATTGGATTCCGGGTACTGGTTTATCCTCACGTTATTGCTCACGTCAATCAGGATTTTGCCCACGAGCAGGTGCCGCAGGTCCCACAGCGAGGTGTAATGTTCTCTGTGTATGGCGATGAAGATCATATTTGTTTTTGTTAGAGCATCCTCGTGATGGGTGACATCCACCACGTGAGGAAAGAATTCAGAAGCAAACTTTGGATTTCTACTCCCTATCACCACATGGTAGCCACACCTAATCAGTCGAATGGTCAGCGACTTGGCAAAATCGCCACTGCCTATCACACCTACGGTGACCTTCCTTGCATCTTTGATGCCACTGACACCATTGGGCAAAAAAGTCTCGCTGAGGCTCTTCGGGCTTCCCATCATGGAGATGGATTCCATGACACGGTTCTTCCGAGATCACCAGGAATTGCCTAGGAGAGAGAACACAGAGGGTTCATCTGTTACCAAGCATTAAAACTCGTGGAGACACTGTGATGGGATTCCACATTGCTGCAGGTCAAATATTCAGAAAGCTACGCAGCCTAGAAAACATTAAGGCACAATCTGCAAGCTAAAAAGGTGTCTCTAGAGGAAAAAAAACAAAAACCTGCACAAACGTTATATGCTAAGGTGTGGTTTCTCTGCACCCACATGGAAGAACCAAATCGAGTTCCAGGCTCCTCACTTGGCCTGGCTTAGCCCTAGCTGTTGCAATCATTTGAGGAGTCAATCAGTGGGTGGATGACCTCCCTCTTTGTGTAGCTTTGCCTTTCAAATAAGTAAGTTTCTTTTTTTTTTTTTTTTTTAACCTCGTTAGGGCCTGTGTACTGGCCAAATTGCCTAATCCTCCACCTCCAAGTGCAGTATCTCAAATAGGCACCAGTTTGTGTCCCAGCAGCTCCACTTCCCATCCAGCTCCTTGCTTGCGGCCTGGCCCCTGCCACCCAAGTAAGAGACCCAGATCAAAGTTCCTGACCCCAGGTTTTGGCCTGAACCAGCTGCTGTGTTCATTCGGGGAATGAACCAGTGGATGCAAGATCAGTCTCTGTCCTTATCTCTGCCACTCTGCCTTCCAAACAAATAAATTGTTACAAAAAGAAAAACAGGTATCAAAATATAGCAAAGGAATCATACCACAGACATCAACCATGACTTTCTGAGAGGCAGCTGAGAAACGGCAGAGGAGTTAGAAATGTATTCACGGTCTTAAATTACACAGAATTTGTGAAATCCTTTTCTTGCCCCTTTATTTGCTGGCTACAATGCCTGTGATGCATCATTTCTTTCTGGAAAATGCTGGCAAGTTGTTTTCCATTGAGTGACTAACATGTGAGATGTTTATCTTTGTACAACTTTCCCAAGCAAGTTCATGTTTGTGTAACTTTCTCAGATGACTGTGAATCAGTGTCACACCGGGTTTAGGTGAAAATTACTTCTCCATTCCACGCATTGCATAATTTCTTTTATGTGAAAACCAGATGTGAACCACTTCAGAGGTTTTAATGGATTTTACAGGCCCTGGTCAAATGTTTCACAAGGATTTTTTTGGGGGGTGGGTTTTTACTCAAAGAAGATTTAAATTATGAGTTAGGAAAATTCAACATCTTAGCCTAGCGTTGGATCTCATTCAATAACATCCATAAACAAAACTAACGACAATACTGACAGTGATATTCCGTACTTCTTCCTTCATACACACTCTTGAGCCCTGCTTGGGTTCTACAGATACTAACTGACCGGTGCTAATACTGTGCTGTCAGTGTGGCAGGAGAGGAAGGTGTAACACGCAGATGAGAATGTAAACAAACTAGGATCAGAACCCAGAACCCAGCTAAGGGCACGTGTCATCTAGGAGGGTATAAGGAACTTAAGAAAGGTTTTTGGGGATAGTGACATGGAAGACAGAGTGACAACTAAACATAATTTGACGCCCCAACTCTCAGATGTTCCAACCCCAAAGTCTCAGGTTAATGGTACTCAGAGCATGGAGGCTTGGCTCAGATACAGTGTGTGAAGGAGGGGTCTGAGAGGTGGGGCCGAACTGGACATGGTGCTAGGATGGGGCCCTGTCACCAAATCATGATAGATTTCCAAGAAGGGACTACTTGGATGCACGTGAGTGCCTCTCAGCTGTTTCCCGGCTGACCATGGGACGCTCGGGCTCCACCGTCATCAGACACCAGAACCTCCCAAGCTGTGACGTTTGTACTCAGGGTATATTCCTACCTCTTCAGTCATTTCATTACTTTTCAGCATTACCTAGTGATCTCAATGTCTAATTCAGTCAGTGGTTTGAAAATCTGCTGCCCATTTCATTCCACACCCTTCAGGACAGGAGCAGTGCTGTTTCTCTGCTTTCCCTGAGGGTGGTACCAAGCACCAGCGCCATACAAAACTATCAGTATTCTCCTGGCAATACTCAGCTGATTGGGAATCAGTGAAAGGAATCAGTAATAATGAAATCAGTGTTCATCGCACTACAATATTAATGATGAAGTGGCCAACAGACAGATAATATGCATTATCTAAGTGTGAGAAGAAGTTACTAAATTAGCACAAAGAATTCACAGCCTGTATAGCCAAGGCCTAAAATCTTCTGAGTAGATGAAACATCTACCAAACACAAGAACTGCAAAGTCTTTAAGTCTAACAAGCAGAATGATAAATGCCTTTTTAAACTAAAAGCAAAATATCAAAAAGTAAGCTCAAATCTCTCCTTTAAGATAATGAATAAGTTATTACGAGCTAATAACTTCACCACTGAGGCCCTTGTAATAGCACGCATTTTATACAATTCAGTGGGCGATTGGTCTAATATCTTTGAGCCACACACGTTTCTAGCGACAAGCTCCAACCGAACCCTCTAATAGTGTAGCTATGCCTACACATAGAAGCCAGTGCAATAAATAATTTCATGATGGTTTCAAGGTACACAAAAGTATCCAAAAGGGAAAGACAAACAGAGAGAGGGAAAACAAAAAGGTGAGAGAAAGAGGCAGAAACACCTTTGACGCATCTGGGAGATGGATTATTTATTCTTCCAGGCATTTAACAGCATATGCTAACGTGCCATTCACAGTTTTCAAACAGAATATTACCTTAATCCTAAAGCGGCTCTGGAGTAGAGCTTACACCTATTTTAAAGATGAGCAAACTGGCTCAAAGAACTTGAGTGGTTTGCCCACCACAGTGTAGTTTTACAACAAGGCTCAAATACAATTCTCTGTAATCCATGCGATCCAGGAACTGCAGTGTCCACCTCGAATGGGGAATATTAAAACTGTGCAGCATCTCCAAACGTCACTCACGATGCTCACTGTAAATAAACTGTAGCCCACAGTTGAGGACTGTTGTAGAAATATCCAGAACTCTCCACTTAAGAATTCTAGCTATAAAACATACTCAATATGGTGGAAATAACCTCTATTTTTGGATCAAATCCAACAAAGGAGCTTAATTTACTAATGCTATAAAACAAACATGTTTGACTGCTGTGCAATCCTGGAAAAAACCCAGACAGGTTTCATGTCTACTGGAGTGCCTGCAGACATGGTGAAGGTGTGTGCTGCTTTAGAGGGAAGAAAGACAAAGGAGTCGGGAAGTGGGGCCATATCCTTTCAGCTTCACTTAGAAACGAGAATAACATTTGGGCCAGCATTGCGGTGGAGTGGGGTAAGCTACCACCTGCAAAAAAAAAAAAAAAATCAGCATTCCATAGAGAGAGAGTTTGAGCGCTGGCTGCTCTGCTTCTAATTCAGTTCCCTGTTCACATCCTAGGAAAGCAGCAGAAAATGACCCAAGTGCTTGGGCTCCTGCACTGACATTGGAGACCCACATGGCCTGTCCATCCTGCTGTGTGGGCACTGCAGGAGTTAAGCTGGGAGATCTGCCTGCTCTCTGAAATCCTGCCTTTAAATACTTAAGACAAACAATCTCAACATCTGAAGGAGGTTTCTTAATTATGAAAAAGAGCGAAACCCTTACATGAACTTCTCTGCTAACAAGGAATGTGGCAACGGCAATCTGAGGGCAGATCTGACCTCTGTGGCCCGACACGCACACACCCAGATCACTGTGTGCTTTGCAGCAAAGAGATGAAGGGCAGGGAAGACACTGTGCTTACACTGAAGCCATTCACACTCCGGATGGAGGGAGACAGCATGTACTTGCAATAGAAAGTGCAATAAAAGTCTTCTCAGCAACAAAAAATGGAGAGCTAGATTGTCTCATCAAGAAAGTCGGGGAAGAGAAAGAATATCTCACTCAGCTCCCTTACCGCAAGTCATTCTCTGCAGTGTGTGTGTATACGCGTGTGTGCAGGCACGCCCACACACTGCCTGTACCACAGTAAGGACATATTTACAAGATCATCTCTAATTCGCACTAACTTCCTCTAATCAACTTGATGAGACTACACTACAGATTCACCCAGATTAAAATTAGACAGCCCAAAATTAATACTGAATTTTTGTGACCTCACTTTAAACGTGTTTGGGCGCTGGTTCCTAAATGGCAATTTACGACATACGGACATAGTGAGGAACTGACTGCAGCAGCTAAGCCATCACTCAGGACAGCCAGAGCCCGAGCTGGGCAGCCCAGACTGAGTCCTGGCTCCCCTCCAGATTCTACCTTCCTGCTGCTGCACATCCTGGCAGGCAGCACTGGGAGCCTCGAGGACTTGGCCCTGTCTCCAGCTCCTGCCTTCAGCCTGGTCTTGCCCCAGCTGGCGCAGCCATTTGTGGACTGAACCAGAGGATGGGTGACCTCGTCCTGGAGGTGAAATGTCAAAGACCACAGCTGCATTTTGAAGAAGAATGATTTTGATGATGTAAAAGGCAGAGTGACAGAGAGAGGGAGAGGCAGAGCTATTTTCCTTCTGCTGGTTCACTCTCCAAGTGACCATGACAGCCAGGACCAGGGAGAACTGTAATCCAATCATTATTTACTGCTCGTTTCAACATTAAAACCTATTTACTTCAGATTATGAAATTGGTTCCCTCAACTGAAACTCAGGCAATTTGAAAGTCATTTTCCAGTAATTAGGAGAAAATGGTAGTTTTATTAAAATGCGAGCTTATCCTTGGAAGGCAGCTGTGCTCACCGCGATACTGGCAACACAAAATGCGTGTTCTTTGAAATTCAATTTACAAAGTGAAGCAATTACAAATCATCTACTGATATTTCATACTCAGGATGAGTATGTCCTGTTTATGTTTTAAAGAACCAAGCAAAGAATTCCTAGAAAAGAAATATAATAGCATTACAACTAAAGTCGACTAAAGCTAAGCTTTCCAGACTCCTCAATGAGGGATTTTGATGAGGAAATTCCAAACCAACAAGTCATTTTCAAGTTATGACCTAAGTTCAACATGCGTCCAGTGTGAACCTCTGGCTATGATTTTAAGATGTTTCTAGATCCTCAATCACCCAAAATTTTATATGGTTGT